GGGGGGGGGGGCTTACAATTATTAAGCGCTGTACAGGTATGCACTTTGCTCCCTAAATACTTAATGGGCTTTGATTTTCATGTTTTTCTTATTTTAGATGTGCATTGCTTTTCAAATAAATTGATCTGATCATTGCTAAATTATGTTTATATATGTTGTTTTACAAGAAAATAAGCGTTCAAATATAACGGGAGATGTAGGGATTCATTTCAGAGGCGAGGGTGGGGTGAAATGATTAAATGAGTAAATACCAAAACTAATATACTTTGAATAGCTGAGACATTGTTCAAAGTCTGAATAACTGAATATGGAAAAATAAAATCGAAAATCAATGCCAGGCTTATAGGCGGGGTTCATGCTAAAAATTAAGGTAGCGGCTTGAACATCTTACTAAGTACCGACTTACCTTGACAAGGGATTATTCTATAATGCTCATCTTTCTCTCTTTGGCCGCTTAGAGAACAAATTTTTAAAGGGTTTTTCACTTCCAGCATTATATTTTAGCTCTACTTACCAATTACCCTAGAGGAAACTACATGTACCCTTCACAAAGTCCGACAAGCTCGGGTTTAGTTAGTTAATCGGCCGTGACGAGCGCGGGGACTCCGTTTAAGTGACTTTCTTACGTAATAACCAGGCTATTAAATTGTCAAACATACAGGCTTCAACAGGTCCAGAAGGCAAAATGTTGAATTTTGGTGTTTCAGGCGTTTTGGTCTACTTGCGGTGCAGCTATATAACTTATAAGCAGATATAGGTCTCAAAGACAGCATTCAAATTCACCCATCGTACAAGCTGGGTCGGTCCATCTTACTCCCTTTTGGGAAGTCTTGCTTAAGTGCAATCAGTGGAATGAGCTTAATTGCCTGACACACCTCCTCGAGCTGCTAGGGGGTAATTAACCATGGTGCGCTGATTTAGCTGATTCCACTTAAACAAGAATCCCCTGCAGAGTAAGTTGGACCTATACCAGCTATAAAGACTTGTAAATTAGAATGTGCCTTATGTCATTTATCTAACCTTCTTCTGACTTCTTGCAGATGACAAATTATTGCCAAAAGTTCCATAAGATCCAGACCTGAGCGTAATTATGCTGGTTTTAACAACTTAACCAGTTTTGAAAAATAATGTTCTGAATATGACACAATTTTGGCATAACGTATGCCAATCAGTTTCAAAAAATTATTTAAAAATTAGTCCCCCCCCATTTTTAACTCAAGATATAAATGTCAAACATAACAACAAGAACATAGTATAACAACAAGAATATAAAATACAATTTATTGATATTATCAAAGAGATTAAAAATCCATCCTTGGTAAGAAGGTACATTGTATCATACATATACATGGATATGTAATTATAGACAGTGACAGCGCAAATCCCAAGAGGCCCTCATTCTTATACCATAATAACAATATTATAACAAATACACAGTTTTCAACCAAAGTTGGTATACAGAATACACTCCAGGTACAAATACTCATACATGTATATTCTGTTTAGCAATCAGTTCCACATTGTGGGAACATTCCAACAGTGCACTTTTAGTACAGTATATATGCTTATCATAAGACTCTTTTCACATCTTACAGTACTCTTTTCTGTTTCACACCATTTCAAGACATTGGCAATTTAATAGGCAGCTGGCTATTACAAAAAAAAAAATTATCTCCGCAGAGCCCCCACACTCAACACAACTAGTAGTTACCCAGATTAATTGGATTGGGTCGTAACAGGAAGTTGGAACTTGTGAAAAGGAGTATAATCTCTCTCTCTCTCTCTCTCTCTCTCTCTCTCTCTCTCTCTCCTCCCCCCCCCCCCTTACATTTAAGAACCAGTCAAATGGTAGGGAACAGAAAAGCACACTGCACCAAGTTTAAGGTGCCTTGGAGGTTATATCTACCAGTACAAGTATACTTGTAAGTTGTAGGACCCACTAAACTGAGTCCTGGGTTACAGCAACAGGAAAATGGTGATATGAAATACTACAGTCAATCAGACAGGTGTACACTTCCAGTAGTCACCAATATCTAATATGTTCAGATTTTTCTCACTATTGACCCTGTAAGCAGCAGTAAATTCCCTTAATAGTTACACTGAAAAAAAAAAACTGTACTACTTGTAGATCATTTTACAATTATAACAATTATCAGAATATTTAGGATTCATTCAGTACCCACAAAACTGCCACATTCAGCCACTGTTAAACATTTTGATTAAAAAAACTATGAACTAAATTTAGATGTGTAAAACAACTTAACAGTTGGTTCACCTTGTCATCAAAACTGTGAGACTAGGGAAAACTAGGAACTCAAAGATAAGGTTTTCTTTTCAATATGCTTTTCATAGAAAAGAGCAATACAGATCACATACAATGTGGCCTCTCTTAGGACACAAAAGAAATAAAGGATACCCTTAATGCAGTTTTTATCTTCCTTTTTAACACCAAAATCTATAACAATATTACATCTATTTTTTACATTTAAAAAACTTTAAAATAACCATGAAAAGAACAAAAATTAACTTTTAGTAAAAAAATCTTGTTAACATTTAATTATTCATTATGTCCCATAAGAAGCCTATTAAATAACCACAGGGAGATGAATGGTCACATATTCATTGATAATAGACACACAAGAAGTATTCAGTGAGGATCATTTAATGGAAGAAATAAAATATGCCTACTGAGCAAAATGAACTGGTGCAGACATTGCGTAAGTGTACACTCACTGAGGAAAGAGCCACAAGAGTTGGGGTGGGGGGAGGCTTAAAACATAATAAACCAAAACTTGTATGGTGACAGCAGCTGCAGTTGGTGAAAGACAGTTTGAAAGTTAGAGAAGTACTTAACCATGTGTTTAACTTCTTGGTAGATAACATCCGCTTTTAACAACAATCACAGCACAGCACAATTTGCTTATTTTTTTGAAATCATTATCAACTGTTGAGAAATATTTGCATTTTTATAAACATCCGAAAATTAACATGTGCAATTCTAAATGGCAAGGAAATCTTTTGAAAAAACCCCGTTACGCACAGTTACTAATCTAATCCCCAAACATGGAAAAAATGAGATCTGAACATTAGAAACATTTAGGTTGTTATTGTCCAGACATAATAGAAGACTAGTAGACAAAAATGGTTATATTAAGAATAATAAATAAATAAATTTCACGCTTCAACTGCAATACCCTGTAGAAGTTTACAGCATGCTTCATTTGGGTGGTACATGTACCTACAAGAATACGAGTAGATGTTTAAGTGAATGCCATATCACATTAAATTTTATCTCTCCAATGAATTCCTAAAAACTGAGAACAAACATCAACAAAGTATAAAACCCAGATATGAGTCTAATAATATTATGTAAACAACTGTAAACTTTTAGCAGTCACATATGTCAAAATACCACAAAATTTAAATAAACACACTATACGTCATCACACCAAATGGATTAACAGGGACTTGAAGTTCTATCTATTGATCAAGTACAGGTGATGTGGTAACTGCAGGATAAATGTTTACAAATAAAAAATCTAACGGGTAGTTTTACAGATAAAATACAAGTCATGTCACACATCTTAGTAACATCATGCATGATGTAATGCAATCAATATATTTACTTTGGTTCTTCTGTCTTCCCATCATATTTCTCTTAAATACCAGTAGACAGCAAAGATTGCAAATGTTCACACAGTGATTTGGAAGAGCAGAAAAAAAAATTATTCATCCAAGACCTGTGCCAAGACTCCAACTTTTTCAAGCTTTTTTTTCCTGTAATACCCCGTTCACACTACGCTCAGTTATCCGGATAAATTGCGAATTAGGTCACAATTCGAATAAATGCAGTAGTGTGAACGCAAGAGGATTTTTGTAATGCGCATTTTCAAAATCCTGCAAGCGAGGTGGATTTCTAAGCGCGATCCGGATAACTTACCGGAATCGACACCTGTACAGACCTAACTGCGCATGTGTGCAGATAAGTGCGGGTATCTATGAACGCTTGTTTATTACTTTAGCGATTGCACCAAACGTATTTGGAGGTCACCATTCACTACAACATGAGGAAACAAACTTATTTTGCCATCTTATGCTTCCCAAGAATGCTGGAATGTCTTTTTGAGATACATTCGCCGTCAGACTTTTTTGTTGGTATTTTGAGTTTTTCTGTGCGGCGCATGCGCGAGTGTTCAAAACAGGAAGTTAAACCTGAAATTTTCAACGTGGGATTCGGATTTGCTTCGCGAGTGTGAACGCAATGCCGGATTGGATTCCTCACGAAAAATCCGAATTACAGAAATGCGCATTTTTGCAACTGTAGTGTGAATGGGGTATAAAATAGGTATTAAACCAAAAGGATTTACCATCTGAAGTGGAAAAAGACCCATTATGCAAAACCGCACATGTTAATGTTACTGCTAAAAATAAACAACAACTAGAGGTGATAACTATATCCACAAACACTATATGCTAAAAAAAAAAACAAAAAAAAAAAAAACTTGAACTGTCCAAAAACAATATTTTTTGTATTATACTGACAATACAGGGCCTAACTGTGTGAGAAATACAACTGATACAATGTCCTTGGAAGCCCCTGAATTTCATTTTTTCTTTTCACTTCAGCACACATGGTTCCACACATGTGCACAAGGTTAATTGATAAATTAACTTGTCTTATACTCATTCAAAGGAATGTTAAAGGAATACAAGTATTTTTCCTCTTTGGGTGCAGGAGGAGGGGGGGGCTATCTGAAGTAGGATTAAAAATATGCAAACACCATTCTTGCATCTATACAATGGTTTCTGACTAAACAATGGTCCATAATTATTGAAGCAAGCACCTATTGATTTAGTCAATAAAGAGGTATGTGTAGTTCTGAGTATTGTAATTTGGTATAAAACTGAATAACAATGCCATGTTCAATCACCAACATATACAAAATATTTCAAGACCTTCTGAATATTATAAAGTATATGTGAGCTTCAATGTGTCACACACTATATATATAAATATATGTGCAAAGNAGTGTGTCACACACTATATATATATATATGTGCAAAGTTCAAGGCAGTTTTCCTTTTTTTCTCCACCAGGTAAAGGTAACATTCCAATATGAAATCCAGACAAATTTCAAACTTACGCTAAGCCAGTACATTGGAAAATAAATGTAGAAAATTATTTTAAGGCAAAGGCTTATGTGTTGTTAGCAAATTAATATTTTGTAGTTCTTTGAAAAATTTTCACTATATACATACAGAAATCATACATTGTTAGCAGTCCAGGAAGCAATAAATAAGAGAGGTTCTTGGTCAAATGAATAATTTTTTTACCGGATAACATATTCACCAGTAGTTAATTAGAAGTGAATTTAGAACAGGGAACTAACAGATCCATGGATCAAATATGGCGACCCACTATTTAGCTTGCTGCTTTTAGAATTCCTGATTAGACACTGAAGAGATTCCCTGCTGGGATTACACAACAAGCATACAAGTGGGCAGATCTGTTAGTCGGCTGTTCTGAAAGCGTTCTCTGACAACATGAAACTCTAATTCTGCCAATATCAAGGACAATGTTTCACAAGTCCAAATCTTTGAGTGCCGTATTCAAATAAAGCACATATCGCTAACAGAATAATGGAGCATTTTTTGCTTGAGGTTCGGAGAGGTTTAATGAATCACAACTTCGTCATCTGCAGATCTTTCATTCTTGGCTAACAGAGCAGTTTGCTGGTCAGCCTGGTCAGATTTATACGTATCTGAAGGATGCTGACCATTTGCGATGCATTTCCGTTTTTGTTCCTCTTCCTCCTCGTCTTTCTGCTGTCTCGCTAGGAGGCGCTTCTGTGATAACTTTCTGTCGAAAGAGGGCGTGTCTACTGGAGTGGAATACGCAGGCCTATTCGTCGTTTCCATCCAAGGGTGATGTGAATTTGCACTGTAGGAATAAAAGCGAAGTCCTGATGGGTAATTCTGGTAGCGAGACTGCCAGAGAAGCACAACAAGCCATATTGAAACCCCACAGCCAATGGCGTTGAGAGCACACTGTAATATGAGATTATCTTTTATACTGGTGAAAGTCTCAGGACGACAGTCAAGAAGGTGAGGGTAAGCATACACCCTCACCATCCCGTTGTCATCACCCAGATGACAGTAACATACTTCATTAGTTCTTACGCAGTCTCCCGTGTACTGTGCGATACGGCGACCATGGATACCCGGGAATATACTGGCTACGATGCACACAAATACACTAATGGCGGACAGGGTAAAAACCACTGCCTGGAAAAACAAAAAGAAAATTATGTACAAAAAAGAGCTTCTGTCATTTTTTGCAATTATAATATGCATAGATAGATACACCTTTATGATACATCATATAAACATACATCTTTTACTACTTTAAATCATCTGAAAAAAAAAAGATTTTGACCTATTTTCAAACAAACAAAAAGAAATTATAAATTAACCAGACGAAATATAATAAATTTTTTTAAAAATTTAAAACAAGCAAATGTACTGTGTTAGTTGAGGATATCTGAACTTCAGTCACAGAATGTGTTAGTTGTTCTCTTAGTTCAATCTGTTGAACACAATTTCTGAATACGAGCTGGGGTTTTGATAAATACACCATGCTGAGACAGACAGAGGCACTTCTCTAATTTCACGTTTTGACCAAGTGCAAAGCTTTGAAACTGAATACACTGTAATCTTAAACCTAAAATATATATATCTATCTAACATGTTAAGACTGCTTATGCATAACATAAAGAACTATGAAAATGGGCTTCACAAAGGAACTTCAGCCAAAAAAATTTCTAACAGAAACTTAAATATGAAAAAAAGGGTGGTTTGACAAAGAATTAATCAGATATTTAATGTGTATCGAATCATTTGAACCCTTACAAGTAAATTTTAAGATTGTGCATCTTGCCACTATTTGTTTTTATTGTAAAATTCAACTTTTTAAGTTGCAAATAAATACATATTATTATTATTATTATAGATGTGAGAGTACCTGCAGCTCACAGAAGCACACCGCAGGAGAGCAGTCTGTCTCTGAAACCTTCAAATGAGCTAGAAACCAACAGTGGGAATAATGTAAACTATCCGTAAATTTGTAGCCTGTGTGTATGTGTGTGTGTGTGAGTGTGTGTGTGTGTGGGGGGGGGGGGGGATGGGGGGGATGAATATCCTTCTGTGCCCATTTTTTATATGCTAGATTTACCAATTACATCTTTAAGGCTGACCTTGCACATCTTTTATGAAAGACAAAAAAAGGAACTCACTACAGTGGTCCCTGTGTTTACAGAATATTACATGCAGCTCCATTTAGACCACACAGAACTTTGGGTGCATTCAGACAAGGTCAGACTTAGACCGAAAACCATTCTTTGTCAAGTTTAAAATTAGGTCTTTTTTCACATGGAATGGTATACATAACTGGACTGGAATGGATCAGTTGGAGAGATAGACAACTGAATACACAAGTGCATGGTGTCATTCTTCAATTGTAATTTAGGTATTTAGTCTTCATCCATTAATCATACTTCCTGTGGTGACCACATCTTAAACAAATGGCTGACTGAGAAAGGTCAAAGTTAAACCAAGCTGGTTCAATCTCATTTAACTCGGAGCATGACCCAATACTGGATCGGGACTATGTCTGGGTCTAAACTCACCCACTTAGTGCAATGTGGAGGGCAAATGTGTTCCCGTTATCACAATGTTAGCTCTATATTATCTTCACCCCTCTATCTCCTAGAGAGGCATCTCAATGACTTTGGGGGCTCACGCAATGTTAGACAATTTTGGCATTGATGTATTGTAACCCAATTTTTCTGCTCCTCGAATTCCTCCTTTTTATTATTATCTATTACCGTGGTAAATGCCAACCAATAGCAACTGCACTGTTTCATATGTTAAAATGCACTGGAGAAACGGTTGGTTGCACAGTCAATTGGGCCTTTTTTTTCTTCTTTTATTTTTTACAGCAAGCTTGTTTGCAACAAAATGTCAAATGTTATAAAACTGTATCGTATTGATTTTTTTCTAAATGGAATAATTTTTTTAGGGGAAGGGGAAGAATAAGCAGGATCTTGAAATGTGTTTTTGTCAATGGTCAGATCTCATCCAAAGGTTTACAATTTATTTTAAATATGTACTGTACGTATGCCTTGGAGTTTTTGAGCTTTAATATGACATTTAAGTCAAATAATTCAAGAAAAGGGTGATTACTTCAGCCATGAAATAAACTCTTGTCAGTGAATTGGGTTACTTTACATTGATGCCAGATATATTCATTAGAATTAGAAACACAGCTCCAAAATTCTTCTCATTACTTCATTCTCATGTTTTAATGACATTTTTGCAATTTTCCTTGGCAGTAAACAATTCTTTAAAACTGTCAGGAAACATGGATTCACTGTAGTTATCACATCTTTTAATCCTGAAATGACTGAACATCTGAAAATATCATCAAAATTTGTGAGGAACTTTCTGAGATGTCCACTAGCTAACAAACACACATAGGTTGAAGAAACCATCATCTTTATTGGTAGCACTCATAAGCAAAGAAAAACAATATCTCTGCCAAGAAGAATAGACAACAGTCTTCCTTTAAATCATTGTAAGTCCTCTCATTGGCATTTTATGAGATATTCAATTATGAGAACCGTTAGCATAAAAGGGCATCACTGTGTGCAACTAAGCTACCTGTAGTGCTGCAATTAAATGTATACTGGGACCACTGAAACCAACTAATACCCAAGATTACCCAAAGAATCTCAGTTCTTTCAGCAATAAGCACGTTCTACCACATGTGGAGAATTGCACAGTTTTCCACTTCAAATGATAAGTGTAGCAAAATGTAGTGGTAGGAGCTACATGCTTCAAACTAATAGGTTATGTAAATACTCCACTGTTAAAACACACGACTGAAGTGTTCGCTGAAATTGGAGCATGTTTTTTTGGTGTTAACAGTAGTAATATCTAATGTGTGAACATATGCGCCAAGAATATGGTCTCTGATGACTACTGAAACTTTGCAGATGACGAACTTGGGTTTACACACATTCTAAGACTGGGTTCCCATACCTAGATCTATCTAATAGGATCAGTCCATCTCCAGGAGGTTTCTTGCAAAATTGCTTTCAGCTTAAGCAGCTTATTCCCAGACCCTTTCGTACTAACTTTAGATTGATCTATCTCCTAGGGGATCCTTGCTAAATTGCAATCAAATTAAGAGGCTTAGATGTCTGACATGGCTACCAAAGCTGCTAGACAATAGTTAATTACCCCTATCAGCTTCAGTGGACGTGACAGACATCTTAACTGCTTAAGCTGATAGCAATTTAGCGAGAACCTCCTAGGGATAAATCGATCAAAAGTTAGTACAGAATTTCTAACCTTCTAACAAATACTTGCAAAACTTTTTGTTTGGCTGTTTGCATTTCCTATTAAATTTTATCCGAATGTCGATGCATTGTTGTTTTTCCACATAAATTTTTATTGTCAAGCTTTTCTTGAAAACTAATCATTAATGAATTTCATCTAATATGATAATTCTGTTTATTTTCACTCATGAGTTGATGGTTGCAAATTCCCCCCAAGTTTCAAGTTATTGTGAACAGTACTGATACAAGTGGACACGTGAAAATTATCCATGAGTGTGCGTATAAATGTGTGTGTGTGTGCATACATGCGTGTCAACTTTTATACTCACCTTTATCACAAATAGCTTACAGCTGCCGCTATAATAATATCTGTTTTCAGCCACACAGAAGAAGATGGCGCCAAATACCCCTGCCAAGAAAAGCTGGAAGCACAAAAGAAATGAAATTATATGACAATTTTTTTTCATCAAAATGTTTGTTATTTACCAAAAATAGATATTTAACACACTGTCAACAACATTATTTTTGTGTTTTGGTTTTGGCAAGTGCATTCCTTCCCACTTTCAAACACTTTGTAGAATATAACACCACTTATCTTGGACGAAACATCTGGAAAGCAAGGCAATGAGTGTTTACAATGGAAGCAGGTGAAAATGGAAAGTGATTATAATGCTTATGACATTGCATCACTCTACAGACTTTGTATTATCTTCAAAAAATTATTAAAAGAATATAAAACATACTAGTAAATATTTAGAAACCCCTTTTGCTGGGTCTACTAAGGTGTCGCCAAGGACTTAATATCGCAATTTTTTTTTCATGATATAACTGAAATATCATGAATGAACCCGTTTTCAGATAAAAACATTCTACTAGTTGAATCAATCCAACTGAGCTACAAGAGATTCTCGCTGAAGTGCATTCATTATAATCAGCTTACAGAGCCAAGCGCGCACAATAGTTAATTACCCCCTTGGTGGTCGAGGAGGCACATCAGACAATTAAGCTGATTACAATGACTGCACTTATGCAAGAATCCCTGTAGAGTTGGACCTGAATGCTTCCTGCAGTTGAGACACTTTCCTAGGGAGATGACAGTAAATATGGCCGATTGTATTCCATATATCACAGTAACACAAGTATTACAATATGTAAAATGTGCAGCAACAGCATCTTTATCATTGATTAAATGAACATCTATCACTTAGGAGAATTAAATCTGCATAATTATAGAATTCTGCACAACAAGTACAAGAAAACACTTTCCCTGGACATAATAACAATAACCCTATTCATCTGCGACACCGCAGTGGCCAGCTAAACATTTTGAGTCGTCAATGTGACTCCCTTTTGACCCAGCATTTGTTAATTAAATTTCATGGAACAAATTGAAGTGACCTGCGTTTGCACTGCATAGGTAGAAACGCAATCAAAAACGCAGGGATAATCCAAGTTCAGCCATTTTACTCACAGCATCTGCTGTCTGTCTGATATGGCACATCAAAAGAAACATATTACCAAGAAGTTCATAGATCCATTTGTGTTCAGCACACAGGCTCTGAATGTTCTAATACTGTATAAATCTACTCATTTTAGTGTTAACAGCAGTAGTATAATACCTGAAAACAAAAGGAATAGAGTAGCGGCATGTTTACTGAGATTGCAGCTCACATGAGCTTTTCAAATTTTGAGCTGGATCTACAAAAGTGGAGCCAGGCATAAATTCTAGATGTCAGATCATGTCTATCATAATTTTAAACATGAAAGTGAAAGCAATGTCTCCCTTCCGATGTACATCTTAATGAATCAAAATTTTGAGGAAAATCTCCAATGTCCTTTGGTTGGATAAAAAAACATAATAACACAAACACATTGGTGTAAATAATGAACCATCACAATCACCAAGACAAAATTGATTCTATTAAATCAATTGCAAAGTTACACTTTGGTGGATTTTGTTTGATTTTTACAATAAAATCAGCCTGAAATAGTTGACTGCACAAGAAATGCTTCAGTAAATTCAGATAACATGTTAGGGAGGTTGGGGGGGGGGGAGGAGGGGGGAAGGAAGGGGTGTTTAAGTACCTTTGGGATATGTATTCCTTTTTAAATTGTCTGAAAGGATGCACCTTTGTTTAATTTGCATTTAAACTCAGACCTTAGAAGAAAATGCATAATTGAAGATTTGTACTGGGTAAATTTGGACTTCTCAAATGGAGTCTTCAATCACCGGCACCATCAGGAGGCCATCGCCAATGACATGACCTACTGGAGATAAATAGCTTGATAAAAATGTCAGAATAATGGAGAAATATACCATTGGAACACAACAAAAGCAAACCTAAGCTTTGCAAATTGATTCAATTGTAAGTTTAAATATCACATCGTTCTGGCAATTTGTTCCTCCTGGAGCCGGAGTGTTCCCCAGAAATGCCAGGGTAACCCTCCTGGACCTGCACCATCTGAGAACAATTCTGGGAAACAAGTTGATGTTTACATTCATTTTGACCTCTGTATGGACATGATGCAATTACAGAAAAAAATGTCAGTGGCAGCACTGGGCCTTGCTCGGCCATCTCAGGACTAATACTGTATTTCAAAACTTACTTAAGGAAATAGTCATGCAACTTTGAATTTCACACTTCGGATTTATGAAATCCATCAATTAATGTCCAAAATACAGCCCTTGCAACTGTCACCTTTGTCAATCCCTGCAGTAGTAACACTGTGACAGTAAATATTATTATTATTATTTATAATATCATTGTATTTTGTAGTGCAGAGAGCTGGCAAATGTGACACTGTATATAGGCCCATAGCCAGGGGGTTCTGGGGTGTGAAAAGAACCCCCTTTTTGCTGGGATAAGGTCCTCTCTGGGAAACATTTTCTCTAGGTACATGAAGGTTTCATGGTAAAAGGTCCACTTTTTCAGAAAGAAAGAACACCCCCTTTGATATTGCTGGGTGTCATTTCAGTTCCGGTTCAAATTCTAGACAGAACTTAACAAACAATGCACTGATTTTAACAAAATGCAAGAGAAAAAGCACCCCAGTGTAGGAGATTGCAATGAGTATAGACAGAGAGTACTTCTGATTTCCCTAGCTTCCTTGGAAATTGAGTTTACTAGACCAAATCTACTGTCAAAACAAGAGTTTCTAACCGCTTTTAATTGAGTACAAACCTTAATAGGATTCCTCCACCACATAAATGACACTTTGCTAAATATATCGATCTCGTTGTCAAAACCTGTTAAAATTAGGAATCTTGAAAGGCAGACTAGTTTAATTAATTGTGTGATTTCCGGATGAATAAAAATGACGGTAATGTGTAAGTTAATTCTATTTTCTCCTGGCTTGGGCAGAAAAGTGGCAATTAACGGTTAGGTGCAGAGGGGAATCTTTTGACAACCTACAAATAGACAGGTAGATAGCTTTTTGTTTCTTTTTTTTTTTTACTTTTTGCAATGCATTTTTGATTTGCAATACATTCCTTAATGACCATCTATATACAAAATATTTTACTCACTGTTCTCAACATTATTAGCATATGCTGTCTAGAATCAAGTTTTCTTTTTTTTAATCTGGCCAAGTCGGTACCTTGCATATTTATACTATCAACACTAGTAGTTACTGTATCTAGTCTTTATACCTATAAAAATATACATGTAATTATTCTGTACCTGTGCAGCAACCAAATATTAATATATTAATAAAATATTCAGTTTATTGAAATATTCAAAACAGACTGTAGTGTGATCTGTCCAGGGATAGAACCCACCACCCCTAGCTTCAGGAGTACAGCCCCCCCCTCCCTGAGCCACCTATCCTCATTTACACCAAAAATAATTCAATAATAAAACTATCCACCTTCTCTTTGTACAATGCACATCCTAATAGACATTTCACTCAAACATGGAAGCTTAGACTGAATACAAAAAGGCATGATCACAAAATCAATAACATTTGTTGGAGAGAGATAGAGGAGTTTATTCTATTGAAGTATCCTGATCCCGTAGGAATTGTCAACAGGCCCAGAGGTATTCAAAATGTGGCCAATTACTCGTTAAAATCTGAAGCCGTGTCTAATATCGTGTCCTGCCCCGCATGCATATCTTAAAGCACCACGCGAGCTTTAATCATGCAACATTTCTTCGTATTTAAAGGCACATGTTGATACATAAAATTAATATTATTTAAATGAGAAAAAAAGTGGAATATAATTCAGAATGTACATGTATTATTTTGTAATCCATGCTGGACATGCATCAAAGGATGAATTTGCGTCTGGAGTGTTTTTTGCTGGACTGCAAACCATACACACATTTTTCAGGGTAGGGGAGCGGGGGTAAATAAAGCTTCCCCCTGGAAACCCTGGATCTACTCCTGCTCATCATAGCTGTATATTTACAACACATAAAAGTGTTCAGTTGCATTATCTCTCCAATTCTGATAAATCAATTTTCTATGCATTTATATCCTAGTAATTACCCTGCTTTATCTTTCACTGCATGCAAGGTTGTCAAAACATTTTACTTGATGTCATTTCTTGGCAACTTGATATATGACATCGAAAATGCCCAATGGCCGTGAACTGTTAGCAAATGATTAAATGTTGAATTCAAGTAAAACTTGAAACACGTGATGTGCATGTACATGCAGACATCAAACGAACACATCTGGTCACACTCGATGATATAACATGTCAAATACATGTGTCCTATTTGTGAGTGCCTCGTATCATCACAATTGCAATGCAATATGGGATTTGATAAATGTCAGATTTTGGTGTCAAAGAACCAAGAAAACGCCAAAATTGAAAAGTTAGCTCCAAGAAAATCTGTCTTTCTCCTCTCTCTCTCTCTCTCTCTCTCTCATGTGTGTGCCCTAGCTGTTCTTTTAGACTGTTGGCAGTAAAGGTCATTAAGGGTTCTCCATGGTTCTCTCTCCTTGGCAAATTTAATCATCACTTTGGTGTTCGCTCTCATAGACTGACCGGCTGATGATTTTCAGAAAATGCACGGTGTTGCATATTCTACAGTTTTTCTCTCAGAGGACTGCAATGTTTCATCAAGAGAGCCAAAGATCGGCACTTTTCAAAACATTGACATTTATTAGTTTACTGTGATTCCCAGCACTCTGCAACTTGGAAAGAAGTTTTGATAGGATGAGTTAAAAGGTCGTATTTTTCGATGCAAATGACTTCCAGGGTGAGGAAGATAAGGAGATAGACCACTCTATTGAAGGCAGTCTAACTATTTCATGGTGAAAATGTGATGAAATGTCCATCCATATAAACATGAGGCTTTAGTGGAGCAGGCAAGACAAGACAAACAATGCATCATAATATCTTCTCTGGCATAAATAACAAGTGACTTTTATTCTGCACTGCCCAGGGCACTGATACATTTTTGGCAATATATGCAATTGGAAATGTAAAACAATTTTGAATTCTTGTTACAGTTTGCTGTAACACAGCAGTGGAATGCAAGCGAGGGTGAGGGGGGGGGAGGGGAGGAGACAACTATTTGAGCGTTTTAGTTGATTGTGAAATGTTATAACAGGGTGATACCCTCACTCAAAATGAGTTGATACACTTAGTATGATATTTCATTATGAAAATGAGCAATTCCACATTTCAAATCTATGGCAAACTGTCATCTTATTACCTCATCTATTTGTCTCTTACAGGCACAGACATTGTGGTCTCTTGCACAAACCCTTACATGTGCTTCATTATCACACACACACACACACACACACACACACACACACACACACACACACACACATGTACAACTGCGCTGACAATCACAAACACGCAAACATGCATGCATAAATGCAAACATACCAACACCCTTATAAAAATAATTAACATTTCATTTTTCAAACCCAGTCAAGTGGAAAGCAAGGTCAACACGACCTTGTAGGATGAAATATTGAATAACCATCCTCTTTCCAGGGATTCCAATCAGTCCCAGATTTCCAATCATCTCATTTAATTTGATTTTGCATTAAATGTCAGCAATGGCTTCATGAGATGACAGTGTGAAGGGAAGAAAACATGGTGCTATTTATACAATTCATTGATCTTTGTTGGACAAAAATGTCTGGCCTCTCCTGGGTATTATAAAATAATGGGAAATTCAGAAAAATCTATGGCAAGGTGTCAATTGACTTTAGCACATTATCAGTGTATACGGGACTAGGAGCACAGAACGACTTATTTAGCAACAAATAAATAAATAAATGAAATAAAAATTAATCTATTTAATAGCAGAGCCCTGACATATTAGCTGTCACATCTAACACAACCTTATTTTACTGTCCTTTTTATATGGAGTGTCAACTTCAACTGAACTCTTCATAAAAAAAAAAAAAAAAAAAAAAAAAAAAAATAATTTCTCTAAAACATGTAAAAANTTCATCAGCTCTGTAAATATAAAGCCAAAAAGTGAAACGGCCTTCCACTTATCGTGTTTACAAGGAAAGAGCACGGCGCCGGCGACGGCATCGGCATCGCCATCGGCATCGGCATCGGCGACGGCGACGACAGACGCAGGTGATGGCAATATGTACAGACACATCTGTGTCTGTACATAAAAAAAAAAAAAACCATTTATCCAAATGGGTTCCAGACATTATAAGTAAA